CGCCGCCGCTTGCCCGGGAACCAGGGCCACCATGCCGGCGAAATTCCCGGGGACGCCCCGCTGCTCTTTCCGCGCCTTGCCTTTCCTTTTCGGCGCAGCTGCCCTGCTGGGGCTGCTGCCGGTGCTTCGGAGCTCTGGCTCGGATACTCCATCTTACCCCAACTTCGTGGCCAGGGGCATCACCTCCTCCCCGCCGGTGCCCGCGGAGAGCCCCCCCGGCTCCGGGCACCCCAAGAACGTTTCCACCAATGGGCACGGCAAGGCTCGGAAAGCTTTTCCAGTCCTGGGCATTGACTACGATCATGTGCGCTTGCCCTTTGAGATTGCCCTCTGGATCCTGCTCGCCTGCCTGATGAAACTGGGTACGTTGGCTCTGGGTGCGCATGGGTGCGCATGGGTGGGTGTGTGTCTGTGTGGGTGAGAGAGAGTTATGGGCAGGTAGGAGAAGGACTTTGTTTGCTGGAAGGTGTCCCCCCAGGGCTAGGTTTCCAAACGCCCTCTTTCCTGGGAGGCTGCTGAAGCCGTGCAGAAGTGTGGCCCTTGGGGAAAGGTTTCTCCGGCGATGCTCCATAGCCGTATGACGTGCACAGGTGCTCAGGAAATTATGGAAGGCAGCTTCCAACAATCTAGAGAAGAAGGGCCAGGATGAGTGAAAAGGCAAGTTCATGTGCTCTTCAAGCTGCTTCTCTCTCTTAGCATGTGCTCTGTATTACTTGACCGACAGCATTCCCATGGGTCAGAGGCGGCCTCAGGGAATAGTCAAAGAAGTCATGGTGCAATCAAAGGTCCATCTGATGAGCATAAAAAACAGGTGGATCTTCAGTTGCACCTTAGTGGCTACCATTGTGATTTTTTTGCCCACTCTTTGGGCACACCCCTGCATGTATAAAAAGTATATTTCTGGAATGATACCCCATTCTTTCAGATTAACCTTGTAACTAAGTGTACTGTGCGCTGGGCAGCATAAAGGTTATTCTGGTTTATTTTTGGAAATTTAGGTCGATCAGGAATGCAACTGGTGAGCAAAGAGGAAGTTAAGTTGATTATGGTCCCAAGGCTCATGTGGACATGGACTAAATTGTATTCCTCCACTATCTGTTTGTGACTGTGTCCACTGGGACACAGCTGAGTCTGCAGGAGAAAAGAGTGTGTTTTTCCCTAGCAGCCAAGGTATGTTTTTAATGTGGGTGCCCCCCCCATCTAGTTATATGACCTTCTTCTCCAATCAGATGTCCTGTTGGTATGTTGGCTTTGTCCATGCTGACTGGATAGAATTGGAGTGAGAATGCAACACACCTGGAAGATGCCTGGAGAAAAGGTTGGCCTATTAGAATAGCTGGGCAGCTCTCTGTTGAGAATAATATGAACCTCTGGAGAGTCCAGGCACTGTGAATTCTAGATTTTGTTTTCTTGTCTCCTTCAGGACTTCATTTGGTTCTGAGAAACCTTGGTTGACTAGGCTTTTTTTCATTGGAGGTATGTGTACCAGAACTCCTGGAAAACTCAACTAGATAGCACGTACTTTGCCTGCAGAAGGCACCATGTTTAATATCTGGCAAGGCCATCTGAGTGTGGGGAAGTTGCTATGCTATACTTTGTAGCTTGATGGACCAGTGGACTAAGAAGATAGGAAAACTTCCCATGTTCCTGAGAAAGATGTCCCCAAGGCCTGAATATTTCTGATCAGGGTTCTTTTAGGCAAGTAATGTCCTGAACTTAAGCAGCAGAGGACACTGATGAGATTTAGGGAAAAAACATGTCCCATTATCACACATCTCTTTATCTAAGTTTGGATTTCAAGTTTGGCTTCTGAATCTAGGGGGAATAGCTTCGCTTGGCTTTCCTTGGGAGAGCAATAATATTTATACACCAAGTCACAGAAAGCCTGTCTGATTTGGGAAAGGATAGTACAACTGATATGGAGTAATGCACTTTTTCCCACTCCATCAAAATTTGCCTTATAAATGGAAAACTTACCCCAAAAGACAATATGAGTAGGCTGCAAGCTTATCTCTGAACGTGTTGCTTATTGTTTTCAGTGGTGCCTGTCTGGTATACATTCTAACTTTTTGATTTAGACTGGACAGTTACCGTAATTATAGGGTATACCTGCTAAAAAAGAGACTGATACTTTAAGGCTGGGGAGAAGTACTCTGTGCACATACTGTTTCGTTTATTAAGGAGGAACGCAGGTTCTTTCTCCTGGACAAGAGTATGTTTCTTCTGTGTATCGTTCTTGCCCATTGACCGACCCACAAAAAAATTAAGAAACTGGTCCATTGGGGAAGTGCTCTTGTGCAAGCTTTTAGACAAGAAAGAATATTGTAGAAGAGCGCAGTTGTGTTGTCACGCACTTTCCGTTCCTAAATGAAGCCTGTGCAGGAGATCTTCCCTGTGGGTTTATGGCTAGTTACTTTGTAAAGGGCCTCTTTCAAATGATTACAGTTAGTCCTTGACTTACGACCACAGTTGGGAATTTTCATTGCTAAGCGATACAGTTGTCAAGTGAGTCACGCCTGATTTTATGACTGTTTTTGCTGTGACCATTAAGCGAATCATGTAGTCATTAAGTGAATCTGGCTTCCCCCTTTGACTCAGCTTGTCGGAAGCTGCCTGGGAAGGTCGCAAATGGTGATCACATGACCTCAGGATGCTGCAACTGTTATAAATACATGCTGGTTACCAAGTGCCCGAATTTTAATCACATGACCATGGGGATGCTGTGACAGTCGTAAGTGCGAAGACGGGTCATAAGTTACTTTTTTCAGAGCTGTCGTAATTTCAAACGGTTGTTAAACAAATGGTTGTAAGTTGAGGACTACCTGTGTTTCTAAATAGAGTTTTAATGTGGAAGGGAAGAAAGAAGGAAACAAAATTGTGCTTTGCATGGTCAGATCTTAGACAGAGTTGAAATCTCTGCAGCTGAACTCTGTAAAGTAGGGATTGGATCTGCTGCTTGTGAAGGAATGGCGTGTTATTGAAGAATCTGGCAATGCAAAATTGCTCTACAAGCAAAGAGCCCTGGTTAATCCACAGCATTTCTGGATAGGATTGGAAAAGAAACACCTATCTTAAACCCTGGAATGCTGCTGCCAGTCCGTGTGCCTTTGTGGAGTCTGTGATCCTCTAGATCAGTGTTTCTCAACCTCAGCAACTTTAAGATGCGTGGACTTCCAATCCCAGAGTTCCCCAGCCAGTATGCTGGAAGTTGAAGTCCATGCATCTTAAAGTTGCTGAACTTGAGAAACAAAATCCACCAACATTTTGAGGGCCGTAAGTTCCCACCAGAACCTAAAAATATGATTGTATCCACATATCATACTGTTTGCTTAACCAGGTTTCAGTCAGTCATAGAATCCTAAGGTTGGATAGGACTTTGGAGGTTTTCTAGCCCAACCTCCTGCCCAGGACAGGAATCCTCAGACCATCCAAGACAAACGGTTGCCCAAACTTTTCTTGAAAACCTCCAGTGTTGGAACATTCACCGCTCTAGGAGGCAGGATGTTCCATTGCTTGATAGCTTTCACGGAATTCTTATTTCCTCCTTATTTCAAGTTGGGTTCTTTCTCTGTAAAGGTTCTGCCCATTGGTTCTAAGGAGAATAAATCCATACCCTCTTCCCTGTGACAGCCCTTCAGATCATAATAGGTTCACCTAATGCTCTAAGCCAGTGTTTCTCAACCTTGGCAATGTGAAGATGGGTGGACTTCAGCTCCTAGAATTCCCCAGCCATTCCCCATGCTGGCTGTGGAATTCTGGGAGTTGAAGTCCACCCATCTTAAAACCGCTGAGGTTGAAAAACACTAAGCTGAAGCCAAAGAAACCACTTCATTGCTTAGAATGCTGTATGAAGCTGGTAAGCACCTAGGTCAATGTTTCTAAACCTTAGCAACTTTAAGCTATGTGGACTTCAACTCCCAGGATTCCCCAGACAGCATGGCTGGCTAGGGAATTCTGGGAGTTGAAGTCCACACCTCTTAAAGTAGCCAAGGTCGAGAAACACTGACCTAGATCGATTGATCCAATGATGTAAATTGAGATAAGGCGTCATCCTGTATTTCTGAGCAACAGACCTCTGATCACAAAATGTTTCTATTGTAACTCTGGTTTAGGAAACACCAAGGAACAATTCTGACATGCAGCAGTTCAAACGGTTCCCCAAGAAAATAAGCTAGAAGAGGTTAAAAAGTTAGAGGTATGTGATCCCCATTTGTGGCTGTTGTATGGCCCTTGAGTCCACGCCAAACCAGCTCGAGCATCCATTTCTCTCTGCGCTGGGAAAACTGCATCTCGGTTGCCTCCTAAGGATGAACTCCAGCAAGATTTATTGATAGGATTTATACAGTTTATTGACTACCTGAGTCTTGAAGGACTCTAGGTGTACAAAGCATAAAATGTAATAACCACCATAATAGTATATTATAATACAAAACTATTATTTTGGCCTTTTGACTAAGACAGTGTTGTCCAAACTTGGCCACTTTAAGATGAGTGGATTTCAATGGCTGGCTGGGGAATTCTGGGAGTTGAAGTCCACTCATCTTAAAGTGGCCAAGTCTGGACAACACTGGACTAAGATCAAGTGTAGTACGATTTAGTATTAATCAAATATTGTAATGTAGCCTGATATGGGGTAGTTAATTTGAAATATGCCGCGGAGTGGAGCAGAACTGGATCTAGTTGTCCTAAATGTGCTTCCTTGGTGAGATCTTTTTAAGGGACCAGTGTGCCAAGATGTGAGAGATGGAAAGCTCAAATCACTGTGGAGCAGATCCTTCATTTCCCCATAACTTTCTTGGACACAAGGGAGACCACCTTTGCAGCACCATCTGGGCAAGGAATAGAAGTAGTCGGAGAGCCGAGCTGTAGATCTGCTTTTACTTGCAGCCTTTTTTGCCACCAACTGCCATTGTGGAATAGGGACTGAAAGAAGAACTACTGGACTTTAGCAGTACAGCAGTTGTGACAAATCATCCCCAAAGTCGAGGCAACAGACTTTTTTAATGCTTTGAATGGGTAGAAGGTGTAGTTCTGTGGTAAGGTGCCATCTTCATGTTAAGATTTCCAGCTTCAATCCATGGTGTCTGCGAGTGGAAAGATTGAGTCGTAGGTTGTGGCACCTGGTCCATGGAATGATCTTTCCCTGTTCGATTGGCCCCAACCCTGTTAGCCTTTTTAATTTTTTTTTAATTAAAATATATATAGCAAGAAATAAAATACATGTACAGGTAGTCCTCCTATAGCGACTGCCTTGTTTAGCGACCTTTTTCGAGGAAAAGGTAACTTTGCGACCAATCCTCGCATTTATGATCTTCGCGGGTCTGTAAAGCAAAGGAAAGCTGAAGGAAGATTGTAAGCACAG